ACTTCTCATATGTTTTAACTTGGGTGGATAAAATTACGTGGTATTTGCTACTGATGGAATGTGATAAATATCACGTGAAATTAATTGAGGTGCGCGAAAACCAGCCCTGTCACAATAATCATTTTAAAAAAATAAAAACCTGCAAAGGACGTTGATAGTTTTGCAAATGGTGAAGGACAAAAAAGTGTTTAAAGTTGAAAAGAAAAAATACATTTATTTTTGAAAAGATATATTTGATTCATTAAGTAAATGTTAGCAATTTCAAATTAAAAAGTTAACAATATTGATATTTTAAAATCAAACTATCATGACATTTTACAAACTTTTATTTTCCTACCAAACACACCTTTTAAGTCATGTCACACACTAAGTAAAATGTCCCAATACACTATGATAAAAATAACTTTTAGCGACATTAAATATTGACACTAATAAAAAGTGTTAAAGTCTTTACCAACATTAATTTAGTGTCATTAGAACCAATATCGCTAAAGACTTTAGGAACATATAGAAAGAGTGACAATTGCCGCTAAAAATACATATTTAGCGGCAATTAAAAATTAAATGTCGCTATAGAAAGAGTGACAATTGCCGCTAAAATTACATATTTAGCGACAATTAAAAATCAAATACCGCTATAGAAAGAGTGACAATTACCGCTAAAAATACATATTTAGCAGCAATTAAAAATTAAATGCCGCTAATGATCATTTTTGTTGTAGTGACACAAGCCTCATACTCACTACTCCTTTTTAAACAATAATTGTAAATAAAAATTTGAACAAGTAGCTTTTATTAGTTGGAAAGACACATTATATAATTTTCAATGTCTAATTAAGCCCAATTCCATCATTAATAATATTGTTGAACCAAAAAGTTCAATTATCATTTGATGATATACCTTTACCAGAATTAAATGATTCATAAGTATAGAAAAATCAATTAGTTGCATGTCGTACTCACTTAGGTCTCAATCAGTCAAATTCCAATAAATAAAAAAAATAGGTCTTTTTTTCTTCTTATATACCGTTTTAAACATAAATTATATCATCATGGTTTAATAGTTAAGATTAATTTAATTCAAATTACTAAACTTCTATATATTAAAAGTGGTGTAATGAGTCCCAAATGTGACTAATTTCTGTTCTACCATAAAGAGAAAAAAAGAAAGATAAAAAGAACATCTACCGGTGACTGAATTGGTACAATAAAAGATATTTCATAGAGGAGACCAGAAATCGATTATCTTCCCCAATGCTCTCTAAATGGAGTCCGTCGCACTAAACATACATCTCAAATATGGTTTAATTTATGAGTTATACATGCACAAAAAAAGAGTTTATGATCTAGTACTCATTCAAAGAATAAGGAAAAGATTTTTTTTTAAAAAAAGGGTCAAATGCCCCTACACTATTGAAGTAGAATATACACCCCCTTGTTTGCATTTTGTCACAAAAATGCCTCTATCATTAACCAAATGAAACAAGTATATATGCCCTGAAACTATTGAAATAAACTAATTATACATTTCATTTACTTTTTGGCACAAAATATCCTTACAATAACCAAGGTGGAGCAAATATGCCCCTCTCCACTCACATACTTCACATCAAACATATTTCAAAAAGCAAATGAAGAGTTTCACATCAAATGTATAACAATGAGTTCATAAGGTAAACAATATCAATTCAACATAATATCCTCCACTTAATTCGCTACAAAAAAAAATACATTTTTTGATCGCAATAAATATATATAAATTTACAAAAAAAATATGAAAATCTTATCAACATCAATTAAATATTATTGAATTTAATATTGTTTTGTTTTAAGAATATTTATAAAACATAATGATTATCATTAATTAATATACGCTAAAAATTATTTTCCTGTAACGATATTATGATTCATAATAGAATAGTTTTGAAAATGGAGGGATGAATTTAGACAAATGGAAGATATATTGGAGTGGAAAAACACTAATACTGGATTTTGAGAATAACAATGTTCCACGTCAGCTCAAGGGACCCACAGTGTCTAATCATATTTTCATAAACAAATATCATAATTTTGATGGGTATAAAAAATGAGAATAATAATTTTATGGATACTATGAATGTAATCGACGAATAACAAAAAGCTAATGATATTATTGATAAAATTTATTGGTCTCTCCTCGATAATATATAAAAGTGTTGACGTGACACTTTTATGTGGTGGGGTGTGCTTTTTAACACGTGTAGTTTTGATTTTAACAATTAAAAAATAACTCTTTTTAATTTATATAATTGTATTTAATTGAATATATATAATAAAAAATGATTAAAATTATTTAAAATAGATTAAATATATTCTTACATTATATATCGACTAAAAAAATCCTTCTCTTCTAAGTATTGGACCACGCTTACCTTTCCATTTAACGAAAGAATTATATGGCATCCATCTGTATATCAAAATGCCACATGAATATTCATCCACACGTGCACGCCAACATAGAAACCCTAATTTCACCTTCTTGTTTTTTTACCCATTTTTCATTCTTTCACTAGTCTCAGTTTCACTCATTTCGTTCCATTATAAATCTTTCTTACCTCTTTTTATATGCTTTCACATTCATTTCAGTATCATAATTTTACTTGTATATATTTTCTAAACATGTGAATTCTTAATCTCTTCTTATATGCTTTCACATTCATTTCGATATCATAATTTTAGTTGCATGTATTTTCTAAGTATGCGAATTCTTAATCGGCCAGTATTAACGTATGACCTTTAACATGTTTAATTCTTCTTCTTCTTTTTTTTTTTTGCTACAAACACATGTTAAAGTAAAGAGTAAATAAACTATAAAAATATAATTTTAAAATATATGATATTTTTGAATGAGAGCATTTATTTTGAAAATGAAAAGACAATGTTTAATTGGTGATGATGACAGAGCATTAAATTTGAAAAAGATAGGAAAAAAACAGGAGAATATGGGAAGAAGAATAGCCCAGAAGAGAAAACATGGGGAAGGGGAAACCAAGGGATCCCATCATCCAAATGGATTTGACTGACTACTCAGCTGAAGTTGACTCCTCCTCACTATGGACCATCACCAAAATAAATCTCCGACATAATACATAAACGAGTCCTTACAGATCAACACATGTATCCTATACAGCATAATAAAAAGTCAGGTAAGACATGAACAAAATATTTAGACAAATGATATTATTATTTTATAGGTAATTTTGAAAGTAATTACTTTTTATGCAGCATTAACAATTTTAGAAGGTGTCATATCAAATGCCTACCAATGTTGAATAGAAAAAATAATTTAAAGTTAAGGCTTACTTAAAAGTCATAATCAGTGGATCAAATCTTGCTAAATTAATTAATTAAATTAAATATAATCTGGGATTATTTAATTAGTTGAGTAAGTAAACGGAATACATAATGTGAACTTGTTTTTAAACACATTCTTTACGTCCTAAAAAGAACACAATATCTTTTTCTTGGGAAGCAAAACATATTATAATAACTTGATTCATAATAAGTAAAACGTTAAAAAAAAAAATACATGCTGAAATTCATTTTTATTTTTTTTGAGTTAGGACAGTGGTGATAATGAATTAATTTCCTGCACATGTTTTATTTTGAGAACAATTTTATTAGTTTTAACTTTTAAGTGAATATTCAGAGAGATTCAGACTAGAAAGTTGACATGAAAAAGTTGTTGTGGGGCTCAGAATTAATCTTTATGACATATAACTTAAATTGAGATGAATATAATATATATAAATAAGTTATGATCGGTTATATAAATATGTTATAGTATAAAATGTATAGATGTGTTATATATATTTAATTTGTTGCAATTGATTAGACCAAGTGTATCCCTTTACTGTACCTATAAACTTCTATTTGATCTGACTATTAAAAATGTGGCCCTTTCATCTACCACTTAAATAGCTAATCAATTATTTTTGGAGCATTTTTCACTCTCTTTATTAATTGGCAAATGATTTAATTAGGAAAGTGTCATGTTTGATGTGTTGATCTGATATATTTTTCAAAAAAATCTTAATAGAAGTGTATTTAATTGAACTAATCTTATTAATGATATTTTACGACTCTAAATTTGACTCCAACTATTATTAATTTATGTAGTTAATTTAATATTAAAGGCATTGTGAAAAAAATATAAAATTCTTCATTTGTTAAAATGGATAAGAGTATGTAAATTCATATGGTTTAAGAGTTACTTTAGATTGTTTCTATCGTCTTACTATTTATAGGAACACATAGATTGGTTAATATAGTTATCGTCATTTATTTGCATAAAATCGATTGATTTCATATTGGAAGTCATATGTTAAAAACTATACATGTTGGCAAGTGATGATATTTCATATAGAACATACATGAATGCAAAAAAGTTTCCTCCGAAAATATGGTGCGAATTAACTAAAGTAGTGTCATTCAAAACCGTTCGCCGAAAATTTTAGATATTTATGGTAAGCTAACATCGTTTGGACAATAATATTAGGAAATTCTTACAAAAAAGCAAATAATTTGAGGCCGACTAATCAAACATTACGATAATCTAGATAACTACAAAATATAATGTGAGTTTTCAAAAATAGCTATTTATTATCAGAGCTACAATAATTTCTACAATTCGCTTAATATCACTAATATAACTCAAAAACAATAATATCTAAATGAAGCAATAGGATCTCAAAGTCCAAGACCTCAACGACAAATAAAACCAATTATTTACGTAGTTTTTTTATACCTTATTTTTTTTTCCCTTTTTGATAACTCAAACTTAGGATCTTATTGAATATAGGGATTTAATTGCTTAGCAACTTACCTTTTATCACGTAATTTATTTACCAGTTTGACACCCTTACGTAAAATCCTGCGTATGCTCCATAGTGTGGAGGTGGGGTTTAGGACTCAAAATTCCCTATAAATACTCATCCATTCCTATACATACAACCAAATACTTGTCAACCTAACACTTACCAAAATCAACCATGGTGATCTTGTCCAAACAAACCTCATTCTTTAATGGTGTTCCATTGATTGACCTCTCTAAACCCGACTCCAAGAACCTCATCGTTAATGCCTGCGAAGAATTCGGATTCTTCAAAATCATAAACCATGACGTTCCTATGGAATTCATAAGTAAACTCGAATCCGAAGCCATCAAGTTCTTCTCCTCTCCCCTCTCTGAGAAGCTAAAAGCAGGGCCTGCTGATCCTTTTGGCTATGGCAATAAACAAATTGGAACAAATGGCGATTGTGGTCGGGTCGAACACATCCTCGTATCGACAAATTCTGAATTCAATTACCAGAAATTTGCATCTATATTAGGTGTCAATCCAGAAAACATTCGGTAAGACACTAAAACAGGGGAAAACAGAGTAATTTCATTAAAGTCCTGATTCGTCAATTCTTGATATTTGTTATTGTAATTGCAGGGCTGCGGTTAATGATTATGTTTCAGCAGTGAAGAAAATGTCCTGTGATATTCTTGAAATGTTGGCGGAGGGATTAAAGATTTATCCGACGAATGTTTTCAGTAAGCTTTTGATGGACGAAAATAGCGACTCCGTTTTCAGGCTGAATCACTATCCGCCATGCTCAGAGATTGAACGATTGAACGATAATAATAATGATTTGATTGGATTTGGAGAACATACTGACCCACAAATCATATCGATATTAAGATCCAATAACACTTCGGGGCTCCAAATATTACTGAAAGATGGACACTGGATCTCTGTCCCACCTGATGAAAATTCTTTCTTCGTCAATGTTGGTGACTCATTGCAGGTACATTGTTTATTTGCACTTTATGTTGTTGTCTGGAGGAACTTTCTTTTCTTTTTATTATTATCGTCATACAGTAATAATAAACCTTATAAGGTCCCAAAGCGATCAACTACACCAACACAAAACTAATAAATGTAAAATATGTGTGTAGGATTCCACACCTAAAATGTCATATGTAGATATTTGACTCTGACACAAGAATCAACAACTTATTGTTATTGATATAGGGTCTAAATCCTGAATTGTTCGGTTTGATTTCGATCGCAGGTTATGACTAACGGAAGGTTTAAGAGTGTGAAGCATAGGGTATTGGCAAATAGTGTGAAATCAAGATTATCAATGATATATTTTGGAGGACCACCATTGAGTGAAAAAATAGCACCTTTGGCATCACTAATGGAAGGAGAAGATAGTAGTTTGTACAAAGAATTTACATGGTTCGAGTATAAAAAATCAGCATATAAAACTAGATTGGCTGATAATAGATTAATACTTTTTGAAAAAATTGCAGCCTCATAATAATTTTATTTTTGGTATCTAAAAGTGACAAAGTCCCACCATGTTAGGAATTATGGGTTGTCAAGATGCTCATTGTGGGCTTACAAAAATAGATGATTGGATTCCTATAGATAGCAAAATTTGTATTTTCTTATACTGTTTTGTAACTACCACTCTTGTTAATCATAAAAATTAATTAGTCTTTCATAGTTTTTGAATCCACTTATTCATCTACCTACCAATTTTTTGTGGGACACTTTCAAATATAGGAATTTAACAACTTTAATATAGGCAAAAATAACTAATGTTTACCCTATTTTACATATATTTTACTATAACCCCATGCACCTCTCTTTACTCCACCCTGTCTGCCTAGAAATCGAAAAGTGCATGTTTTGGCTTTCAATAGATAGTGAAACGTTATTTATAATGTACTAATGCTATATATATAGATCGTAAAGACTTTTTTTTAGCGTAAATAAAACAAATTAGTTGATCAAGTTCATCTACTTTGAAATAAAACATCAAGAACGCGATACAATACAAGAACAAGATATTCTAATGACTAATAGTTGTTTGGAGATTTTTTTTAATATCTTTTATTCTCTGCATAACCTTCTTTTATAGGTCGAAAAATTGAACCGTCACCACTCACCTCAATGTAAAACGACTACATGCTTGAATATTGAATAGGCTATCTCATAGCATGTGCTTATACTCTAATGCCTTTTGGCTTGTGCAGATCATTATGACTTTCTCAGTTTAACTACAAAAACAGAAATTACATATGTTCATTATATATGTTAGATATGAAAATCATAAAGTGTAGTACTCTCTCCATTCTATTTATGTGACACGTTTAAAAAAACGACATATTTTATAGTAATATAATTCTTAAATGATCTACAATTATATATCTATAAAGGAGTAATTCATTGTGCGCTTTTTGACACTGAAGAATGTGACGAGAGCAAATGTTAGAACTAAAAAGTAGATTTAACACAAATCTCTAGTCTTTTTCGAATTATAAAAATTTCTTAAATTTAGTGGTTATCAGATATATCTCGAAATGTCTTGATAGACCTTATTCGAATACATCTTGTACATCCCGATACAACACATAAAGTAATGTATTTGACTCATACACTACATAAAGTTATGTAGTCGGCTGATACATTGCGTAAAGTAATCTCCAGATATATTGGGTACATCTTGATACATGAAAGAAAATTTAGTGTATGTACGAATAGTGTACTTATTTTGTGGCTCTGGTATTTCTACTGCTTAACTTTACAAGACAGAAATTACAATAAATTGGTCACATGCTTTTTTTGCTCAGCTAAAATATGATGAAACAGAAACAGAGTTGCAGAGTAACAAGGCCAGAGCCTGGACCAAATCTAATTACCCACAAAACCTTGAAACTACAAAGTGAAACCAGGGTCTGGCTGACCAATTGCGATGAATGATTGTTTGATTAAAGTTATGCAAATATTATTATTAGTGGTATTGAGATTAATTATGAGAGATATATAGTTAGTAATGTAGGATGTTAACAATACATATAAATTGACTTCTTTTTAATGGTCCCTGGAAGTTTCGCCTTTTTTTGCACCTTTGATTACTCGAAAAAGAGGGGTGCACGTGCACTGCTAACTTCAGAAAAAAATCATTTACATATATATTGAGAAATTGATAAAAATTAAGGTATAGTTAATCATGCACTCATGAAAAACGTAGGAGTAAAATAGAGAATTCATGAGATCAAGGTTTGTATCCAGCTAAAACCATTATTCATCATATGCACATAGCTGAACTAAGATAATATTAGTGCATCCAAAATCTTCAAATCCTTAGTTTAGTTAGCGTGTGATGTCGGATACACCATTTTATCGTATTAAAAAATGATTTGTCGAAAACAAAGGAGAAATTGACACAAAGACAACCTCAATATATATGATATGATGGTGAAGACAATTATACAACTCAGCAAGAGTTAAGTGTTTTATTATTAATTATTACTATTTCCATAAACTCTAATCTCAAGGTCTTTCCCTGACAATATATCATCAACACTAGTTGAGAAAAAAGGTGATGAATTCACCCTTTCGTATTCATCAACTGGTGTTGTTGGGATAGCTGCAATATTTGGTACTGTGATTATGATGATTTCTGTAGATGTGTCAATTAACCAAAATAAGTCCATAGTGACTAGGATGGATATCTCGAAAAATAGCAATGCAATGACAAGATATGCAAGTTGTGTAAATAAACAACCTTCATGATTCCATTTTGATTGGAAAAATAATTCAGATATACAATCTGACACAAAACGGAATTCCACCAAATATATATATTACTCATGTTTTTTTTTAGAGGTCGATCGTTTGGTGGAATCTATAAGAAAAACTCTAAATGGAGTATATGCATTGTTTGGTTTAGTGCAATAAAAATAGTATGCATAGCCATACAAAGATACTTTCCGCATTTATGGTGGAAAAGAAGTAAACGAATTTTGAGGGACAATTGAGTCTTTAACAATGCGAATACATGCATTAAAATCATTGTATTACTAATACGTAGAGATTCATGGTATTAGAAATGAATACCTTAATACACAATAGAATGTAACATAAGCTGGAAAAGAGTACTAAATAAGTTACTAGTAATACACAAAGTTAATGCATGCATTATTTTTTCTAATACACTCGACGAAATGACACCTAAAAGAGAATTGTGTGGGGGATATTTTATGACCTTCCTCATGTGCTGCCTAATATACAGTTCAATGTTGAGGTTTTGAAACAGTAGAATGGGGTTTGCCCAACAAAGAAGGATATACAATCAACAAAGAAATTGTGTATTATTGCATATTAGTTGAACAGTCGGCCTGAGTTGAAACAAACACTCTTCATAAATAAGGTATAAACCACCTCGAATTCAAGCTTCAATCCTTTTTAATATCGACATCACACAACCTCAAAAATACAAGCTTCGATTTTTAATACAGACATCACACAACCTCAAATGGATACATTCAATTACACATTTGACATAATATACAACATTGTGTTTGTATTACACATTCCTTTGGAAGAGGCATTCATTCTTTGCTAGCAAACTTGAATCACCAGCACATTTCATATCTCTTGGCACTAATCATGCACAAACCACAACACTTCCAGAAACACGGACAGAGAGCAGAGGTAACTTACAGGACTTAATGGCGACTTAAAACTTAAAGCCTCAGAACGTGTTAAACGGTGCTAACATGAAGGAAAGGGATCAATCCACATATAGCATCTCATTATCATCTTTTCCTTGACTGAGAGCCTCTTCCAACTGCCTTCATATTCTGTGAATCTCTAAAGCAAACAAAATGCACAATTGTCTTGCCATTAGGATACACTGCAAAGACACTGGTGCCAATCTTCTTGTTGCAAAGAGAACACATGCTATCACTTGTGATCTTCAAGACTGCTTTTCTTTGACTATACAGTTCATCTTTTACCTGTTTCATACACAGGTTTACAATGAGAGACAACAACTGCAAAACTACAGCGTTAGTAAACAATCTAGTCGTACAAATTAAATACTCCAGGATTATTTTTCAATCTTCCAGACATTCCCTAACATTAACTCAAACAATTGAATTGCAAGGTTGATAATGGGTAATTTCCATAAAACAGAAAAACACAAAAAAAGATGATTCATATGCCAGTAAAGAAACAATGTACTCTATATATAAACTGTAAAACAAAGCCAGAAAACCCAAAAGACCACATATAGATTGTGTATGTGTCTCTGTTTTATTGGTATTACCATAGTAAAACTTACCTGTAGATTTTCACTTTCTCTCAAGCTTTTTATCACTGAAAAGTTTCGATACGCTTCACTGGATTTTCTCAGGAGAGGTCCAAGAAATGGAAGCAAGTTCTGCATGATAACAAAATGAATCAATACAATACTATAACAGCAAGATGTAAACTATTCTTGCTCATGCACACATATGTACACAGGGCAAAGCTAGAGGCAATGATTCCGCAATTGCAATTTTAGCATGTGCATGAAATGATATTCACTCGAATAAATAAACAATGTCGCATGCTCTATCCCACAGTGCTGTATGTGTATTTTCAGAAATCCCTAAAGGGTCTACACTACCTTATCTTCTTATAACTTGATGCCCGGAGTCTATATCTTGTATCGATCATAGGGATCACTCTATGAATAGGTCAATTCTCTGTGACCTCCCACAGTAGAAAACAAAAAGGATTCTGTCCAAAGAGGATCAAGAAGATGCTGACATAATATCTACCAGTGCATGGAGAGTAACATTGGATAGAATTTTACTTGGCGTAGTTGTTTCAAACAGATGATTCTGTATACTTTATTTTTTATGACAAGGAAACCCCAAGACGCTATGCTTTGGGTGTACACAGGGTAAAACCCCTGTCCTGTGCAATAGCTAGCAAACCAGACAGGAGATGGAACCCGCACTAGGCAAGGTGCAACGACCTCGACCCAGAAGGCAAATCCCTTGCTTTCGCTGGCAAGGAGTTTCAAACTTGAGACTTCCAAAATGGAAGTTCCAAGCTCAAACCACTAGGCCACCCCGAAGGGTTATAATTTTGTATACTTGAACACTTGAAAGACAGATTGATTAAACTTCACCTTGCAGTTCCCTTAATGTGTATCATCCCAAAGTCAATATTTAAAGATATTATAGATAGAAGCATCTAATATGCAGTTTAAGACCGTGACTAATCAAAAAACCACACATTAGGAATTTAGGACATATTAACGTGATTAGTGTGCAGATGCATAGAGTACTATCACTCTTGAACAGATATCTTAGCTTGTGTTCTAGTGAGTTTTTTCTTTTGCAGAAGCTTTTAGCCAGAGGGGTGGGGGTTGTGGCATGATGCTATAGTGAAGCATGTCTCTGGTTTTTTTTTTTCTGAGAGAATCACTTCTGCACACAAGGAATGATGCTTGTTTACTTCAGCCCATTGATGAAACAATGACCAACTTTCTCATCTAGCTCAGGTATACAATCATGTTTTGATGGTTCATTACCTGTAGTTTAGTGTCCCTTGGTAGTAGTTTCAGAGCTTGGGCCCCATGGATCCGATCCCACCTTTTGCTCAAAAGATCCAGCACCTGATCTAGCATAATAGTAGAATCTCCTTCCTCGGCAGCAT